ATATATATATATAGATTTGACAAAACAATGAATATATTTGAAAATATTAAGATCAATATATATATATATATATATTTCTATAATTAAGTAATGGACTAAAAATTGATAATAATTTGTATGTCATGATAATATCATATTTAATTATGTGTTCATGTTCTATATAATATGTTAGTATTTTTTTTTCTTTTGAAGTTAATGAATTTTTTTGAAGAAAATCCGAAACAAGAAAAAAAAAAAAAAAAGAAGTCACTTTGTTCAATTTGATATGAGCAAATTAACAAAACATATTACTCATTCATTATGGTATTAATATAACAAGTCAAATAATAGTATTAAAATTTAAAAAGCTAAACAAACAAGGTTAAAAAAAGAAAATAAGATGAAACAGATAAACAAACAAGGTTGAATGTGAGATGAGTGGGAGAAAATGCATAAACCATGTGTCTAAATCTTGACCATTAAATTTAAAATTAACAAGAATTGAGGAATGTAGACCATTAGATTACTTGGTTGAAGTACAAAAAAGTGCAGCTCCATCCTCCCTTCTATATAGATAATAGATTTATTTGAAACTGAAGTCCACATACTTTTTGTTAAATTTTCTGATAAATAATTTTTTACATTAATCTTCTGGTTCCAAATAAAAGTAAATTTCCCAAGTGGTGCATTGCTTTCAATTTCACTAGGGTTCTTAACTTTTAAAAAGTCCCAGTTTAATCCTCAATCTATTACTCTATTTCATTATCCGTTTATTCATTAGTTAAGTGTTAAATATTTGATAAAATCTTGTATAGGGTCTCATGTATGAGTGTTAGTGAGGGTAAAGTGGTAATTTTATGATCTGTGCATGTGCTTGACCTTAAACTATAAGTACACTCATTTTTTTAGCTAATTAACAATGAAAAAAAGTTAATTTACGTAAGTAGTCCCTGAACTTAAGTGTTTTTTTTTTTTTTTTTTTTTTTTTTTTTTTTTTTTTGAATTTTGGGCCGGGAGGAATGCGTGAACATATCAAAAAAGGACGATGTCCACCAATATTTATCAAGTGGGTTACTTATCTAATAGATAAATATAAAATAACTATTTAATTCTCGAGTTTTTCCATATGCAAATTTATGGAAACCATTCAAAAGAGAAATTAATAATTGAAAAGTCATGTTTACAATTTTATTTATAAGGAGAAGTTGGGTTTGAAATTAGTTTTGTTCTTTCCCTTTTATAATTCTTTTTTCATAATTATTTTTTTTCTTATCACATGCTACAGTTGTTGTGTTCTGTAACTCTCCTATCTATCAAAAGAAAAAAAGTAATAAATAAACATGATTTGCAGGATGGAGAGAAAGAGCATTTTTAATGTAATGTTATAAATAATGTACCAATTATAAATTTGATATTTGAGTGTGAAAATACTCTCTAATACAATGTTATTTATTGTGATAAATTTATCATTTTGCAACAAGTATGTATGATGAATTTGGCA